GAAGTGATGGCCTGTCCATCAGGTCAGTCTACATCAAAGTGATGGCCTGTCCATCAGGTCAGTCTACATCGAAGTGATGGCCTGTCCATCAGGTCAGTCTACATCGATGTGATGGCCTGTCCATTAGGTCAGTCTACATCAGTGGTTCCCAAACTTTTTCAGGCTGGCGCCCCCTTTGGCTCCATAGTGAACTTCTAGCGCCCCCCACAGACACATATAAAAACATACGCCTCTTTCTTGAAATTTAGTACGCTGCAATTTTAATAGATAAATGATAAACACAAATGTGTATTTCACAAAAAGAACCCCATTAAGTGAACCAATATGTTTTTAAGCTGTTTTAACTGTTTCAGCACTAGAAACCTAGAACGTCTCGGGCAAATTCACGGCCGGACTCGTGGCCAGTCGCACGACCAATCTCCAAATTCAATTATCAAGTAATATCTCCCAAACTAATGAACGCAGCTCAAGGAAACGTGGAACAAATATTCACCAGAACCTAACGTTGATTTTTAGCTCGCAAAAATTTTTAAATTTTACCTTCATTCATCAGTTATATTGCGATAAAGGCCGAAATTCGCAGTGATCAAAGAATTTCTTCCAAACTACTGAACAGTTAGATTTGAACGAAATTTTGAATATACATTCCCAACTACCAAGCGTTGATTTTTTGGCTTTTAAAAATTTTCGATTTTTCCTTCGTTTGTGAGTTTTTTTTTTTTCATTTCACAGTCATTCTTGATTGGCAACAGGCCATGGCAACACAGTGGCAACAGGCCATGGGCCTATTTCTTCAGTGCTGCCACTTCTATTCTTGATTTCACACTTCCTTGTATTCGGCCCCTATCGCCGGATTATTTGTCGCTTAAATTCGCGGCGATCAAGAAATTTCTTCTAAACTACTGAACAGATTTCAACGAAACTTTGTATATAAATACCTAACCTCTCAAGGGTGATGTTTAGCTCGCGACAATTTTTCTATTTAGCTACCGTTTGCGAGTTATACAGGTATAGGAGGAACG